GAAATACACTAGCTAAGGTTGTACAAAAAATGGACAAATTGTCAACAATGTCTGGATGCAAATGGCCGTTATTTTTCAAATCTGTAAATTAATACCCACTTACATAATTAGATTTTACATTACATTACAATTTTGTAAAATGTTTGTTTGTTCTAGTGTAAAATAAATTTACGAAGTTCTTTCTGCCTTGTTTTTTTACCATATTTATACATAGATAGGAATTTGTCCCATACATTTGAGAAGTCGATATTAACGTTAATATTCTATTGAAAATTCGAGGCGTTTATGTCTTACCCATTAACGTTATTTTCTGACAACTAAGTCATGGCCTCCTTAGAAAAAAAACTAATACATAACATTATTTATGATGATATTTCGGTGAAACTGCAATCTTTTATGCACTTGTGAGACATAACTAGAGCTGAAATTTCACACTCTTTTCAAAAATCAAAAAATCCAATATGGCGACCATAAGAAAAATGAAAGTTGAGGCGGGTTGCTGGAAAACAAAAGACGATTGAGACATGTCATACATTTTATCTTATTTTTCTTAATAAAATGTCCCAATAATGTCACATTTTGACTGCTGTCATATTAACCGTTTTGGTTTACTGGCAAAAAAATCTAAAAGCCGGCTATCGAAAGCACTAAGTTTCCTCTAAAACTTTTCCCATTTAACCTTTGCTGTAGGCATAACGGGAGCCAATATCTCTGTATAGAGAAGCGAATCTGGGACACACTGTATACTGGGAGTACAGATATGAACATCAAAGATAATTTGTTCAATTTTGAAATTATTGAAATCAAAATCTTTAGCGGTCGTTGGTAATGAATTATATAGATTGATCGCATTATAGGAATAATGAAGTTTTCTGAAGACTCATAGTTAAGGTATCTGTGAATCAAATATTCCGTGTGTGGATATACTCATAAGTCATAAGAGATATCAATTTATTTTAAAAAATGAAGGAACCGAAGCATGTAGGAGTTTGTGAACATAATAAATGAAATGAAAATACAACATGAATTTTTGATTTTTTTGTACCTGTTTAACTGAAACTGATTCTAGAAAAGGAATTTTTGATATTATTGAAGATTCACATAAAATATTTTTTTGGCTATAAAGGTATTTCAAGTACAGATGCCGTAAAACTTACAATTTTTAGTTACATTATTTACATGAAACATAAATTTGAGATTTTCATCTATAAACAAACTTAAGATTTTAACTGATTCTTCTATCTGAATAGGATGACCGTTTTCAATTGTGTTCAAATTATTTTTAATAAAATTTTAGGGGAAAAATAATAACTTTGGATTGGAAGGATTCGCCCGGGGACTGTGTTCTGTTGCATAATTTATACTAGAATTTAAGTCTTTTATTTGTGCTTCCTCTATGTCTAAATTTTGCTTGATGAAGCTGTGATATAATTTTGAGTCGACAGCAAAAGACAATACTACAAAATTCCATAACCCTATTTATATCTGCTATCTACAAAATAAAAATATATAGTCCAAGCACTGATCCTTGAGGAACTCCTGAGGAGATCAGACGTTCTGTAGAAAATTCTGAGTCAACGACAACCTTTCGAGATCTATTTATCAGAAAGCAGCGCATTAAACTCAGTAAGGAATCATCGAAACTATAATGTAACAATCGAAAGAGTGATTTATTTGTGAAGTCGAAGAGAACTAATAGTGATCCCACACCCCAGCGATATTATCAATAAGACCGAGGGTACTTATCATATTGCGGCCTTTTCGGAATCCACATTGTTATTCTGGCAGAATCCTATGTGCATCCAGACCTTATTTACTCCTCGTCAAAAAAAAAACATGAGCACTCTACCGCCGCTTATATTCGCTTGTCGCTGCATACCCAGGCATTTATGACACACTGGCCGAAATTCAAAATAATTAAATTACCTTCATCTTGGAGACAATTATGACTATGAAACTTGATGCCGAAAAAAAACTCAGCAAGACACTCCCCACGCATTCACATAAGATTATTTTGAAATCTTCCATTTGCACAAATTAAAAATCCTTGACATACAAATGCTGTTTGAGTATCATTGTTTTTACATAGTCAAGTGCTTTTCCTAAAGGTCCATCTACTTATTTACTGTTGATGAAATTGACGCATGAATATGTATGTTATAACAGATGCAGATTAGACCATGCAGACAGACATCTTGTTACGAAAATAAAACTTGAGGGAGTTGAAACAGGGGGTAGTATTTACTATGGGGCAACAATATTATTCTTCAAGCTAGAGATACACATATGGGATTTTTGATAAATCGTAAATAATCACTTGCAAAGAAACTTTAAAAATTCCACCCCTGAGGGATGAAGTGGGGTTAACGCTCTTGAGGTTGAAGAACCTGTAATAGTTCAAATTAAGTTAGCCTAGAAGCAGTAATATGTTCTGTCTTTAATTTTATCTTAAAAGACATTGACACATAATTCCAGAAACTATATCCTCAAGATGAACGGCTGGAGAGGGTTGAATATTTCTATGCCCATCCGCCATTTTGAAGATACTGAGTTATGAAGTGCCCACACAAATAAGGGACTGCGTGACCCACATTTCATTGAAAAATGGTACAAGCTCGCGCCCCGCCATTTTTAACCATTACTTTTCATTCAATTATACGACAATTTCATCATCTTGTTAACTTGTCCAATTCAAAAAATAAGCAGAGAGATAAATCCAAAATTTGTGAACGATCTGAAGCTTGCTCTTGGCATCCAAATAGGTCCAGCTGTTTCCGATATTACCCCTCCACTGGTAACGTATGGTCCCTGAGACCGATGGAAGAGAACTCTCGCGCTAAAAAACAAACGCGGAGTGTATGGCAACTGCGCTTCCTAGTACATTTCGACGATAGCGTTATCTATACTACAACTATTTAAAACTGTAATGACTCATACGCGTGATCAACACGTGATCAGAGCTCGATCCCGGCTTCCTTCCAGTACAGCCGTATAGCGTACGACATATGTCGTTTCTGTGGCTTTGCGGTGGTCAACAGCACAGACAGAGATGGAAATAATGGCTGATTGTTCTCCGCCGGTAGAACCAATGAAATTAAAGACGCACCTCGACCGGCAGCCTCATAGGCGTCGGCAACGCATTGGAACGTGTTTCGTTGAGCGATCGCATATTGTGTGTTTTTATAAGAATTGTTGTGTGATTGTTATTGTTGTGGTTTCTGTGGTTACTGTTTTGGTTATACTTAACCATGAAGAGTACAAATGGCACGAGTGGAAGTACTGAAAGCCAGGGAACAAGTAGACGGCTTCGTAAAGCACTGAAGAGGGACGCGAAAGAAATCGTGTTCAACGTGTTCAATTATCTGAACAGAACTATGTCGCAGGGAGATGCACTCGCGCGTTGTGAAAGTATGACAGGCGTTCCAGAGTGGACCATTCGCATGGTGGTGCATGAAAAGAAGAAAACTGGAGCTACTACTGATCCAAAGTTTAATTTGAAGGGACGAAAGGCCGTTAAATTGGATGACGATAGCAAAATGGCATTAAGGCGAACCGTACATTCATTCTTCTTTAGGAATGAGATACCAACCTTCAAGGCTGTACATGCAGCGATCAAGGAAAATGAAATTATACCCCAAATGAGCGTCGAGGTAATGAGGAAATCCCTGCACGAAATTAATTTTCGTTACGAAACGCGTAATCGGAAGTCAGTATTGATAGAGACCTGAAATAGTCGCCTGGCGTCGAAAATACCTGCGCGAAATGATATAATATAGGCGACAAAGCAGAAAAATCTATTATTTTGACGAGACATGGGTAAATGCAGGTCACAGTGTTAAAAAAAACCTGGATAGACAAAAACGTAGTGAGTAACCGACAAGCAAGCATTGAAGGTTTGTCAATAGATCTTCGTGGACCGTCAGGGAAAGGTCAAAGATTGATCGTAACTCATATTGGTAGCGATAGTGGCTTTTTAGAAGAGTGTGACTTGATTTTCGTCTCTAAGAAAGGAGGTCATTACCATGACGAAATGAATGCAAGCTGCTTCGAGAGCTGGTTTCAAGGGGTGCTTCAGCGAGTTGAGCCCAACTCTGTGATCGTCATGGATAATGCTTCCTACCATAGTCGTCGAGCCGAACGTGTACCGACTATGGGATCTCGAAAAAGTGACATGCAGCAATGGTTGCACGAAAAAGGAATCCCGTTTGACGATTCATGTGTGAAAGCGGAATTGTATGAAAAAATTAAACAGCACAAACCTGCGAACATTAATTACGTGACTGATGAGATGGCCCGTCAATGTGGTGTCACTGTGCTGCGGTTACCGCCCTACCACTGTGAACTGAACCCAATAGAGCTCATCTGGGCTCAAGTGAAGCGTTATATTGCGCGCCATAACACAACCTTCAAATTACCAGACGTTAAGGTTTTACTTGAGACTTCCATACAGCTAGTAACGCCCGAAGCTTGGCAGAATGCTATCCGTCATGTTGTGAAGGAAGAAACAAAAATGTGGCAGCTCGACACCATCATAGAGCCAGTTATAGTCAGTTTCAACGAGGAAAGCGATAGCGACAGTTTATTACTGTCAGATGTAAGTGGAAGCGACGATGAATAAAGGTAATTCCCAAATTTTTGACTTACAATATGTTTCAAACCACTCTTTATTAAGCATGTGACAAATCTAGTTCACCCATGTTAAACATTCATACCCCGCCAATGAACAGCCGACTACTGGTAGTTAAGTGATGTTCACGTGAACATCGATGAGTCATTACAGTTTTAGATAGTTATAGTTGTTATCTAGTTAGTCACAAACGGCAAGTGCTGGTGTACAGGTCGTTGTAGAGATATACGGAAATGCGGTTCGAGCCCGACGTTACCTATTGTGTAACATATTGAGACAGGAACAGCGGAGTGCTTTATAAATTAGACGGTGAGTTATTTTTTGTTTCATTATATTTTACTGATGTATTATATTTTAGGCAATTTTTACGAGAATGTCTTATTCTTACGAAAAAGAACAAGAAAGGTTACTATGCCTGTTTGAGGAAGTTCCAACTCCTTCCGCATCCGAGGTAGCAGATGATGATCAAAGTCTACAAGGTGACAATTTAGAAACACTCGAGTATGACACAAACTCTGAAGAGGATATTCCAGTCACTGACGATGTCCAAGATCACGTTACCGTACAACCAGCAACACGGGTGCCTTGCCTTATTGGAAAAGATGGTACGAGATGGAAGAAACATCTTGGATTGAAGCGTAACATTCGAACTCGGCAAGAAAACCTCTACATACAATTACCAGGTCCCTGAGCCGAAATACGGAAAAAACATACCATCAAAGAAATTTGGGAATGTTTTTTCACCACAGAAATGCTGGAAATGATAGTAGAGTATACCAATGTTTTTATTGCCATGCAGTCCTATGATATAACAAAATATCGAACCAATAAGCCAGTAGACATCTTTGAACTGAAAGCTCTGCTAGGCATGCTATATATATCTGCATCTCAAAAAAGTAACCACCAGAATGCAGAAGATCTGTTCAGAACAGATGGTAGATCAATAGAAATATATATATACGTAGACTCACGATGTCGATGAGAAGGTTTCAATTTCTCATTCGTTTTGACGTCAAAAATACACGAGTGCAAAGACAAAGTATTGACAAGTTGGCTCCAATACGTGAGATTTTTGACACAATCAACTCCAATATCTCTAAGCATTACAGCCATTCAGCGTACACTACTGACGTTGAAAAATTAGAAGCCTTTCGGGGTAAGTGCTCGTTTAGGGTATACATGCCAAATAAGCCCAATCGATACAGCTTAGAAATATATGCATTAGCAAATGCTAAAATGGTCTACACATCTGAGATGGAGGTTTATGTTGGAAAACAACCTGAAGGGCCATTTCGTGTAGATACCTCAAATATTGCATTGGTACCTCGGCTTACTGAACCCATTTGGGGAACAGGAAGGAACGTCACAATGGACAATTTTTTTACAAGCATGAACCTTACTGAGCTGCTTTTACGGGAACATCGTATCCCTGTAATTGGAACTCTAAGGAGAAATAAAGCGCAAATACCACCAATTATGACAACCATTGGAAGGCTGGAAAAAACCAGTATGTTTGCTTTCCGGGAAAACTCTACCATAGTTTCGTATATACCTAGAAAAAATAAAAACATTTTAGTTCTCTCATCTATGCATCATGACGATAATATTGATGCGACTACCGGAAAGCCAGAAATAATTATTGACTATAATCAAACAAAAGGAGGAGTCGATGTGTGCAGCATACAACTGTGCGCGAGCAACTCGGCGCAGGCCCATGGTATTTTTTTACAGCTGTCTGAATGTAGCGGGAATAAATTCCTACATAATTTACAAATCAAATACTCAGCAAAAAATACCCAGAAGAAATTATTTGGAAAATTTGGGATTTGAACTTATTCAGGAACATAATGTAAGATCTCTTCAGCAAAATATTCCTAGGACAATTCGTTGGAGACTTACCGAAATTTATGGAGGGAATGTAGACAACTTACCCACCCAGAACGCGATGCATGGGCGATGTGCGTTTTGTAGTAGTAGGAAAAACAGAAAAACTAGGTTCGTTTGTGCACAATGCAAAAAATACATGTGCCTAGAACACACACACACACACCCTCCTACCCTGTGCGGTTCCAGGCAACCTCAAACCCTTGAGGAGTGGGGGGAAGAGCAATCTGCTCCTCCCTCCTCTCCCGCCCGAAGGCCTGGCGTGGCGCTGCGTGGTTCAGGCCGCTGCGCATTCCCCGAGTGTGTGCTGACGAACGAGCTAACCCCCCTCCCCAATTTTGCCCCTTTTTCCCGAAATTTGACTCGATCGCACACGCATCGCGGAAGCACGTGGTGGACGTTTCTTCCAACTGTCGGTTCTCGACTTTTATGGAAGGCCTCTTTCTTGGAGGTCCAGCGCTAGGGGCTTTGACCTAAGCCCCGCATTAAGGTTGGAGAGCCTTCGCTCTTTCCTCGTCGACTGGAGTCAGTCCTCGTCAGTCAGACATTTGCTGTTAGTCATTCGTCTCCTGAGGTTAGCCCCGAGTCCGTGCTTGACTCTGGCCACCTGAATCGACAGGCTTCTTTTTGTCCTCCCGTTGTACACGGGCTGTTCTTTCCCCTCTTGGGTGTACAACTATTGTCGGTCTTCTCCCCTTTTCTTTGGCCTCATCAGCTGCTAGGGCCAAATTTCTTCTTGTTGCAGCTGGCTTTTCGGTCTTTTAAGACGCCTTATTGTTCTTGGGTCGTAATCCAAGGCGCCTCTAACCAGCACATTTCGATGTCTTTCGTTCTTTTCCAAGAACTTTCGGGCCCTCTCTCTCATCTGGATTACGACCGGTACCTGCCGTAGTTCGTCATATAGCACTCTGTTAGGTACATACCACGGTGCGTCTACAGCCTCACGGAGTGCTATGTTTTGTTGAGCTTGGAGCCTCTTCTTCATCGTTTTGGAAACGTAGCCCCAAGCTACTGCTGCGTAAGTCATGATTTGTAGCAGCACCATCTGAATCATGATGGTCTTATTCTTTAGAGACACTTTGCTTCTTCTGCCTGTAAAGGTCTTAGTCTGGAGCGTGCCATCTTCACTTTCTGCACCTGGCCCTCGACATGGTTCTTCCAGGTGAACTCCAAGGTATGTGCTGGAGTCCTTCCAGTCGACCTCAACTTCGTCGTTTCTTCTCAAGCCTCTCTCCATTCTGGTGGTCGTCATCTTTATTTTGGTTTGAGGTAATCTTCGATTTCTTCGGAACAGTACCGCTTCGGTCTTCTCAGGGTTGAGACGGATCTTCCACTTCCATTCCGTAACCATGCGGGGTCTCGTACTTTCTGCCGCATATGCTGTATCGTCCGCATACACATACAGTGGCGTTTGTGGAGTCTTCGGATGTCTGAACTGTAGATTACATACAGCAGGGGTGATAGAACCGCTCCCTGTGGTACTCCTGCCTCCACAGTCCTCGTCGTCGAAGTTTCTTCACCAATCCTAATTCGGAATTTACGGTGCTTCAAATAGGACTTCACCAGTTGGATCATCCCCTTTGAGTATCCAAGGTCTACCATCTTGTAGATCAGTCCGTCATGCCAAACAGTGTCGAACGCCTTGGCGGCATCCATGAACACAGCTCCCACGGCCCGCCGAGTCTGGAACGATTTCGTTGCCATCTCGACCAGCCTTAGGACCTGGTGCTCTGCTGAATGTTCGCTTCGGAATCCGAACTGTTCGTCTGGAACTACTCGGAGTTCTTCAGTTTCGTTCCTCAGTCTTCGTTCGATTACCCTTTCCGCAATCTTGCTCAGTGCAGTCAACAAGCTTATGGGTCTGTAGTTTTGGGGGAACCTTGGGTCTTTCCCAGGTTTTGGAATGTTGATCACTTCGGCTACTTACCAGTGATCTGGAAAGTATCGGTGTCTCAGTATGGCGTTGACAATGTTGGTAAATGAAATTATCGCTTTCCTCGGGAGTCTCTTCAAGACTCTGTTCCCAATTTCGTCTACACCCGGTGCTTTTTTCACCTTGAGTCTTCCGATGATTTCCCTTACCTGCCCTGGAGAGGTCATGTCTTCAATGGCTCTTCCTCCTCTTACAGCTCTCCTCGATCTTCTCATCACCTCGTCGATGAAGTCTTGGTCTTCATCGGGGTGAGTATTGAGAGTACACTCTCTCTGGAGGTTGTCAGCAAAAGCTTCTGCCTTCTCTTCGCTTGTGTACACCATCCCCTGTTCGCTGTCTATTGGGGGATGGGCTGTCTTCTGTTTCTGAGGATTTTAGCCAAATTCCACATGCCTGGGTCAGCTGGAGATAATTCTTCGAGTTTCTTATCCCAGGTGCTCTGATGATGCTGCTTCAAGGCGTCTCTTACCTGTCTTGTCAGTCTGTTTGCCACCATGGTGTCCGTGGGGCTTCTGGTCTCCTGGGCTACTCTTCGGGCTCTATTTCTTTCGGTGATCTTGCGATTTACCTCGTCAGGTAGGTCCCTGAACCTGTTTGGTTGCGTTAAGTCTTCCACGGTGGTTGCGGCTTCTAACGCAGCCTTAATCTTCCTTTCTAGGTCCGTGACCGCTTCCTCTATGCGCTCATGGCTTTCGATCTGAAGTAGTGAATAGTGCAGTCTGATTCTAAGTCGCTGCCAATCGACTCTCTTCACTGTTCTTTCCTCCACAGGTGTTCTCCCATCTCCCATGTAGAGAAAGATGGGGTTGTGGTCTGAGCTTTCCTCTTGCAGGGCACCGATGGTCGTGCGCAGGTCGATTTCTGTCAGAATCGCCATATCTATGACGTCTGGTCTACCTCCGTTGCTGGGGTATATTGTGGGTTCATCCGGACCTATCATGGTGTATCCAGGTTCATCCATTAATCTTTCGAGAACAGTGCCTATTTCTTGAGCCCCAAATGGTGGACTTCCCATTTAGATCACCTACGATCACGGTACTATTTCCCAGTGCAGTGATACAGGTGACATCTTCCAGAAGAATCGTCGATGTAGGTGGTATGTATATCGATACGATGTTTAGAGGGCCGTGGTCTGTTGTGCGTACCGTCACTCTTACGGCCTCTGCAGATCTCAGTTCTGGCAGTCCCAGTTCCCAGCGGGTAATGCTAGTCTTGACAGCAAGTAGCACCGCACCTCCGGTTCTGTTCCGGTCCTTTCTGTATGTCGTGTATCCCTGTATCATCCAGTGTGGGATTTCCCCAGAGAGCCACGTTTCTTGTAGTGCCATTACATCATGGTTCCCTCTTGTTAGGACTTCGCCTATCTCATATTTCTTGTTGGAGACGCTATAAACGTTCCAACTCAATATCTTCAGGCTCCTATTTGCAATGGTTATTGGAGTGCCCATTTGGAGTGTCGGTCAGTGCTTATCCTTTTTAGGCGTATTTTCGCTCCAGATGAGCGAAATATGCTTTCTTGGCAGCCGGATTTTTCATCACCAGCGACATCACTTGAGATGCGTTTTTGGTGGCAAAGTCTGTCAGCTCCTCGACGTCGCTGTCTTTGGCACTGCTGTCCTGAACGGCTTGGGCCACTTTGGGTGTCCCAGCTGTTGTCGACGCATAACTACGGCCCTCCTGAACTGGACTAGGCCTAGTTATGGTTTTGGGTGCTAGCGCTGCTCGCGCTGTGCCCCTTGCTGTCGTCTTCTTATCCGTTGGCCCTGCACTCGGCCTCTTTGGGCATCCCCCAAAGTTTGCGCGATGCTCTCCCCCGCAATTGGTACACTTCGCGGGCGTTTCGTTAGGGACCTTACAGTCCGCCGCTCTATGCT